GTACCCCTTTTTTTTTCATTTGTGCCGATGATTGTACTTAAATTCTTTTTAAGTGGTCAGGACCACTAAGGTCAATCCACTCAAATAAAGCTCTTTAAATAAATCAAATGTATTAAGATTTTGAAATTCAAAAGAGCTGTTAGCACAATCTATGTGACAATAAAGTGCGTAGGACGAAATGGTTATTGCTACTAATAGAAACGCGTATTTAACAAATAGACTTGAATCAATACCCCATGTACTCGATACTCTTGTCGATTTATCAACCAAAATGAAGTCAATATTTCCCTAGATTTGCTTAGTTTGCCTGTAAACTCGTAGGTTGGCTGGGGGTGGGGGTGTGGTTGTTGACTAAGGTCTTAATTCGAGATCCATGCCTACACCCATGTCCTGATACTCAATGAAGTTTTTTTAATTCGCACCTGACTAGACATCGGCGTGACCACCGTGACGGTCGTGACCAATTTTGAAAAAAAATCGTGACCGTGGCCAAAATCTGCTTACGGCCAGTCACGATAAACTTTTAATATAGCTGCATAACAGCGATTTTTTAATTTTATCAGAGAATTAAATATTTTGTGTTCATCATTCTTTCAATATGTATTAAGGGTGTGGGTGGGGATGTGGGTGGGAGTGGGTGTTGATGATAAAGCGATAACCCACACTCATACTCCGCATTTACACCCACACCCTCTCTCTACCATCATGTTTGATGCAGGAATAGCAAAAATATCACGTATGATGACAGAAATAATAGGAAAAGATTTGCCATTATGTGACCAAAATTCTAAAACATCATCATTTTCTCCATCAGCTAATGCTAATGTCGAGGACATCCATAAGGTAAATTCATCAACAGTGGACGTCGGTAATCGAGGATTATCGAAACATAAAGACAAAAGGCTTTTTTTCTTTTTTCTTCTGATGAGGATGTTGGAAGGAACATCATAACTGGTGCACAAGATGATAAATTGGATGAAGATGATTGATTTGTTTTTGTACATTTTTCAATTTCATTTTGAAGTAATTGCATTGCTCTACTTTTATCGGATGGATTTTTATCGAAATGTTTGATTTGTGGATGAAGAATGGTGGCTAGTAAATGTTCATCTTGAAGTATCCACGTAATCACGGACTATTCGAATATTATCTGATTATTAATCAACGTAGTTAACTTTTTTCTTGAAGCAGTACTTAACCTCTTATAGTCCTCGAAACTTATTCTATGTCATAGCTATTTTACTTTTATCACTCCCATAGATACTGGTGATCTAACATGGGAACAGTTCTTATTATTTGATTCTCCAAAGAAAAATAGAAACATTGCTCAAGTATACCTGAACGTGAAGCGAACTGCTCAATCTACTGCACATGAAAAGATTCATGCGGGTAAATGCCTATGAATTTCTTTACTTGAATCAAACTATCTTCATCATCATGGTGAACAACACAACAGTTAAGAAGATACTGACGAAGAGGGTGTGGATGTAGGTGTGGTTGTGGGGGTGGGTGTTGATGATAAAGCGATAACCCACACTCATACTCCGCATTTACACCCACACCCGCACGCACATTCATACTCACACCCATACGCTATTTACAACTTTTAGTTTATTATATAAGTTAAGAAAGCGAAAAAAATTGATGGAAATATTTGATGTAAACTTTTAGAATATCCAAAATCTATTGATTATTTGTAAATAAAAACGAACTCATTGAAAAAAATACGGATATGAATAGAACACATTTGGCTGCTGATAAATGTAGCATAGCGAATCATTTATTAAAATATTCAAAGGTCAAGGAGTCAGCCGCCTTCTCTAATCGAGTGGCTATCTAGTTTATTTCTGCACTTCGAACAGATTTTTTCTACTGGCGATCAATTTTCTATTTGCTTTGTTACAATACGCTCGATAGTTATATTTTTTATATTCCATTTTTTTCTCAATTTAACATTATTACTCTAATTCACAAAGAGGGTATGGGTGTGGGTGGGTTATTCTGATGATGAATTTCCAGTTTCCCCATACTTATATTTTCAAAGTTTACTATTTTCCGTATATAACTAGAAAACACGAACTCTTTATTAAACACCTTTTTTTTTAAACAAAAAGAATTTCGAAGACTAGTGTCATAGTTTTCATGAACGAGTGCTTGTAATTCTATCTATCTCAAGTGTGGCTATCCAATGTCTTGTCCTTTATTTTATCATTCAATTGCAACGAATTGGCATATTCATCGTAACTATATTTGTTTCTCATTCACTTTTTTTCAAATGTACTGTTTTACTTTTTTTTCGGTTGCTTGGATCGATCTAGCTGATCTAGTCTTACAGGCTATGTTCATAGTTGTTATGCTCATTGCTCGTTCTCAAACTACATGTATCGAATAATTCTGATGATGTCAAGCAGATAAATGCTGCGCCACTTTTTGCTATCATTATTGCTTTGATTGACGTTATCGCTCTGATTCTCTATCGTAGGTATGGCTCGTTTGTCTTAATCTATCGAAATTTGTAAAAAAATCTATTTTTTAGGCTGTCAAAACTATTTTCATGTTTAAATTGAGCAATTTATTGAAAGAAAACAATCAGCAAGTTGTATAAACAATTTTTGATATATGGTATATGAAAAATTTCGGTGCTCTAAAAAATAAAGATTGATCGTTTATGATAAGCCTAGAATCATGTTTTCAGTATATTAACGACAAGATACTTTCTTTCCTATCAACTTATTATTCCACAATATAGCAAAAAAATAAAAGAAAACTTGTTCACATCAAAAGATTTTCGTTGATATAATATAAATCTTATTTTATTCTCGCTCGATCAAAGTCGAAATCTATGGCAACTATTAAACTTTATCTAGGCAATTTTAACGACGTTGTTAAATAGTGACTTCGAGTGTACCGTTTTTTATGCTGAACAGATAGAATTTTGATCATCTTTCTTTGCTATTATATGACAAATATTGAAACAATAGAACTGAAATTAGGTTCATTTATCCTCGTTAGAGTCAGATTATAACATCTCGATAACTTCTTAGTCTACTTTTCGTTCGTAGTTCGGTGTTGGCATATTGTAACACTGAAAGAAAATCACACGTGATTGCAGATCTTGCCAAGAAAAAACAACGATAAAAGATGTAATGTGATCAGAGAAGGAAAAGTTAGGACTAAGAAAAGAAACGATTGACAGACATAGGATAATTGATGTCAATTATTTCTATGACGGTATCTTGTTTGATAGAATATTAGTATCTGACATTACTGTTCATTCTCTAAATTTATACAAATTATTAAATACTTTCCATCATTTGTTTTCCTACTCGATGCAGAATCAATGATGAGTAGGTTGCAAACGAAAGAAAAATGCAAAACATTGAGTACTACTTGCTGTATTATCCGTCGAATATGTCGTGTCAATCGATAACATTGGAACTGGACTTTGTGCAGAGAAGATGATTATGCATATTGCAGACGAAATTCAACTATATTAAATTATGTTTCGAACTTGGTGAAATCATTCCTTTATCATAGATGCGTAGTGTTCATAGAGAAAACGAATTTTTCATATTGTAATTTTCAAATTCAAATCAGACGTTTCTATAGGATGAATCCGCCATAAACAAACAAATCTTTTTTTTGTTGACGCGAAATTTTTTCATTTCACTTCCTTTAGTGTATTATTATCCATTTTTTTTATTGTCTATCTGTTGAATGAAACATGAATCGATATAGAGAAACTAATGTTGAAATTAATATGTATGAATCATCTGAAAACAATATTGACTAACGCTCTTTCGTATGCTAAGTCCACATTTCCGCTGAGTTGTGCAATGCGTGACATTGTTATAAGAGAAACAGAGAGAAATGTGATGAAAAACTTTCTCCTTACCTAGACAAGAAGATTGTTGTATAATTCAACAGAACGCAACAGATTTCTTTTCGATAAAACACTATTAGTAATGTCTGTCACTGTGTTGTCTCTCTACCTGGTTTTATTCGCTTCGTTTTTCTTTTTCAGTAGATATGACTCATTGTGTATTGCACCATTGTATATGCAAAATTAGTAATCTTATTTTTTCTCTCACTTCATTCTCTGTATGAGGTGTCGTTCCTCTCATAGTAAATGTGCTTTTTCATGACGTTCTGGAATGAGTCTGTTGATTGACTATCATCTGGTCGACGGAGACTCTGCACGCTTTTATTTCGAACACATTTTTGTTAGTCAATGGTAGATTAAGTAACTTACTGCTTTTAACAATTAACGCGAGAGATGTGGTGAACGTATTAAAGGATTCGATTCGATTCGATTCGATTTGCTTGATATATGCAGAAAAATTAACAACACGTGGGATTTTGTTGTTGTTTTGTTATCAACATTAAGTAAGATATTTTATTGGTCGCTTTTTCTTCAAATATATATATTTGTCTGCGTTTCTTTTTTTGTGTGCATTATTGTCGCTAGTTTTACGTGAATAAATTGTGAACAAGAAATGAGTTCGATTGGTGGTTATCAGTTGAATATGTTCTCTCATTAACTATTCGAATAGCTAAACAATTTTTAAGTGGACTGACAGTACAAATCGCAGTTTGTCGATTTATTACTTTTCAGTCGACAGGTTATCATCGCTTTCTTCTCAACACCCGACTCACGATTTCAGTTAACTAACCGTTCATCTAACCTGAATGTTTGATCGTCTCTGAGAAAAGCTTGCTGAAACTGAAAAATGTGACCAGTACATATCTAAAATCCATTTGCGAAATGTAGAAATCAATAATGAATAGCCGGAGATTTCCATATATGACGACAAAAAAAACCACGTTTGTCTATAGATATTTTTTTCTTTCAAACAATGGTTTAAAATTCGAGTACCATATCTGTAATTGAACTCACGACTCTCCCAGACTGTGTGAACAGTTAATGATTGCTGTGCTAGTATTTCAAACGTTTTCATCTATTGATTATTTTTGTAGTATTCTATCGTCGTTAAAAAAAGATGAGTAGTGGTCAAAGTGATTATATTCAGGTAATATATTTCATCTATCATTATAATTGCTTGTTCAATATATTCTCTACTTTTTTTAATAGAAAGGTATTCAAAATGCTGAACAAGCAACAGCAGAAGATAAAGCACACAATTATGAAGCTGCTGTAAACCATTATATGACAGCAGCTCATTGGCTCATGCAAGCAATAAAATGTGAATGAACGGAATAGATTGTTTTTCCAAATTATATTCAACAAATGTTTGTTCTTTAGATGGAGGAATGAATGCACAATTAAAACAAACAATAAGACCTAAAATAGAGAGTTATATAAAACGAGCAGAAGAAATTGATTTGATTCTGAAGAAAAAACCAGTTGCCGATGGATGCAATGATCATGGAAATGCGAAGAATAATAAAAACAATAGTGATAGTAGTGATTCAGATTATAAACAACTTAAACAAAAATTTGAAGGTTCACTCACATTACTACTTCTCTTACAAAAATATTATTTTTTTTTGTATTGAAATTTAGGCGCTATCGTTGCAGATCCAAAAGTAACATTTAACGATGTCATTGGTTTAGAACAAGCAAAAGAGGCACTAAAAGAAGCCGTTATTTGGCCTGTTAAATTGAAAAAGTTTTTCAGAGGTATACAAGTGTGCAGATCGAAAGATCTATTTAATGATGTGTACTCTTTTATATTAGGTAAACGTAAACCATGGGCTGGTATTCTACTTTATGGAGTGAGTATATCATTTGTTGATTGATTGCATCGTCTCTATATATATATCTAATTGTAGCCACCTGGTACGGGTAAATCCTATTTGGCTAAAGCCATTGCTACAGAATGTAAAAGTACATTTATATCTGTGAGCTCATCGGATCTTCTTTCAAAATGGGTTGGTGAAAGTGAAAAAGGTGTGAAATGTTTATTTGAACTGGCTCGTGAACGACAGCCATGCATTGTATTCATTGATGAAATTGATGCACTCTGTAGTCAACGTAATGATACAGAATCGGAATCTTCAAGACGTGTGAAAACTGAATTTCTCGTTCAAACAGAAGGTAGCTTCACTCTAATTCCAATACGAAGAATTCAGTAAATTTCATTGGATAATTATTTAGGGGTTGGAGCAGACAATTCAGGTGTTCTTCTTCTTGCGGCAGCTAACATATCAGACTAAAATAAAAATATTAATAAGTTTTTTTCTGTCGCTTGACTTTGTATAATTCTTACCATGATCACCGGAGGCTCAAATAAGTCATCACAATCAAGTTCATCAAATGAAATTTCTTTCGCATCAGGATCGTCAGGTGAACAAAGAAGCCACAGTTCAGAAGGTCCATCAGAATTGGGATTTTTCACCTAAGTAACAGTTAGAAAGATAATGATATAGAAGATAGACAAATGTTTACTCGTTTGAAATGAGTTGATGAACAAAGTCGTCGAAGAGGCCTGAGTAAAGCTTCTCGACAAACGACAGCAATATCAGCACCAGAGTAACTGTAATTCGAAATAAAAAAAATTGATGTCTTCGAAGAAATATATTGATAAACGATGATAAACTTGCCTTGTTGTTTCATTTTCTGAAAGATAAGGTCAGGCTCACAAAAAGATGAGTCTGTTCAGCCAACTAGAAAACAGCATTCATCATTGCTTACAAAATTTCGTCAAACTAACGAATCATGAGTCCCAACAATATAACTATAGGTAATATGTGGCTATATTTCG